AGCCCTGAAGAGAAGGATTTGAGGGTGTTGAGAGATGAGAAGCTCAAGACGAGTCGGCAGTGCGCTCATGCAGCCCAGAAGGCCAACCGCATCCTGGGATGTATCAAGACAAGCGTGGCCAGCAGGTCAAGAGAGGTGATTCTCCTCCTTTAGTCTGCTCTTGTGAGACCCCACCTCAAATACTGCATCCAGTTTTGGTACCCCCACCATAAGAGGGACGTGGATCTGTTGGAGCGTGTTCAGAAGAGGCCACAAAGATGATCCAGGGGCTGGAGCACCTCTGCTATGAGGACAGGCTGCGGGAGCTGGGATTGTTCAGTCTGGAAAAGAGAAGACTTCGGGGGGACCTAATAGCTGCCTTCCAATACCTGAAGGGAACATACAGGAAGGCTGAGGAGGGACTTTTTACAAGAGTGTCCACTGATAGGACAAGGGGAAATGGGTTTAAGTTGAAGGAGAATAGATTTAGATTAGATCTGAGGAAGAAATTCTTCAGTACGAGGGTGGCAAGACCTGATGTCTGGTCCCATGCTTTGCAATATGTACCGTGTCATTTCAGGGCCATGTTTCTGGCAGAGATGAGATCAAGTTTCAAGGCTTTGTTTAATTCCAAACCCAGAAATTCATGAATCTCAGTGAGAACTCCCAGAAAAGAGGGGGGAGAAAATATAAATAGTAAAAAAAAAATACAACACCAGTATTTTTCCAAATAGTAAAAGGGGGCTATGCAGGTAACCGTCAATCCCATACAAGGCACAGTTATCAGAGCCACACTGCTGAAATTGTGGTGCCTAGCGACACGGTTTAGTGGTGGACCTGGCACTGTTAGGATAAGGGTTGGACTTGATGGTCTTAAAGGTCTATTAGAGAGAGATAAATATCCAACCCCTGCCAGTCTGGGCTACCAAAAGTAGGCAGAACAAATATAAAGGCTAAGCCTCAAGGTAACATAATTCTCTAGCTGAAAAAGTAGAGAGTCATGATTTTAGAAATATAAGTGATGATGCATACACCAATGGAAGAGTTGTTACATACAGCTAAGTACTCAGGGAAAAAAAATAGATTCATTACAAGTGACAAGTAATTCCAAGACAAAAACCAAAGTTGCAGTCGCTACATATTTCACAGCCTAATAACAACAGGAACTTCATATGACCAAAATTTTGGTCTCCAAATACCATATGTCGCATTACTTTTCTTCTTTTTTAATTTAAAAGAGACAGATATGTACTCTTGGACTAAATTGGAAGTTTCAGAGAACTCTTTTACCTCATTAAAAAAAATTACTCTTGTTTCAGAGACTCTGAACACATACCCTCCATTTTGGTTCATACCTTGAAAATTGCCTGGGTTCCTCCGTACATTTTTTAGTGTCCCTCCTCCCAGTTATATATATGAGAGGTTTTCTGTATAGCATTGTTTTAGCCAGAATGTATTTCAGTGCAACTAATATTTCCCAATTAGAAAAAATGCCATGCATTTTTCTGACTTGTAAGACTATCAACTACCAATTTTCTTAAGTAAAGTTCATATCCCGCTAAGGATTCCACTTTCCTCTCTCTTAGCTCATTTTCCTCCAGCCTATTTTACCTTGTTTTCCTACCCTTTCAATACCACTTCACCACTTAATTCCTCTATCACATCAATTTAGATCACTCTATGCTGGGCGTGATATCTTTCTCTCCATCATTATCTCACCTTTCCCGCTCTGTGTCATACATCCAAATCTCCCTGAGCAGACTGTAACAGCCTGGCTCCATAGCTCCAGGTATGGAAACCTACACCTCTAATTCTGCCTCAAATCATCTTAATTCCCTCAGTTCTCAATTTGTGTGTCATAATCCTTTTCATCATTTCCTTCTGCTGAGGCTCTACATCCACTCAACAACAAAATAACTTTGATTTGCAGTCATGTTTGACTCTGGTGGGAATTTCGCAAGAGTCCAGCCTTGGCCTAATGTTGTCCATGATGGAAATGACACTGTTCCTACTTCGGCCAAGACTGACTGCATTTGAAGAACTCCAACCCTCAGTAGGAAAACTCACATTTCTTTTATCCAAACTTCTATTTTTAATCTTTGGATCGATCTCCTTACTTCTGACATTACAAAATAGCACTCAAGGAATCATATACAATGAACTCAGCAGCATCTGCATAAGAACCCCCAAGCACCGATATCACATATAGTAGTCTACACGTGCAGTAGATAGACACAGACCTAAACTTCTGGCCTGTATCCATCTTTATGCATGAGAGATCTGCCCAAAGGGAGGAAAAGAAACTGCCCGCAGTGGTGTCCTCCCATTTTCACCTAGTCCCTTGACAAACAACAAAAGTGCATTTGATGATTTATGTGGAAAAAGGAG